CCGGAGATGGGAAAGTGACGACCTGGCAAACGGTTATACCAAGAAAGTTATGGGAAGTTGTACTGCGTCAATTCCATGATAATTTAACAGGAGGACATCTCAGAATTAAGAAGATATTGAGTCACCTACGACACAGATTTTACTGGATAGGTATGAGGTGAGATGTGGAAGAATGGTGCAGGACATGTAGTGCTAAAAGGGACCCAAGCGTAAGGGACACTCACCTTATGAAGAGTTGCCTGAGAATATGTCAGAGTTTGTGGAAGTGTTATCGGAAAGGATTGATGATATTCACCATCAAGTTCGTTCAAAGTTGAAAACGTCTGCTGACTCGATGAAGTTAACTTATGATAAGAGATCTACTGAAGTCAGCTTTGTACCAGGAGACAAGGTATGGTTGTATAATCCCAGGAAGACCAAAGGGAAGTCTCCTAAGTTGTCTTCTCCATGGGAAGGCCCATATGACATAGTGGATCGTCTCTCAGACGTGACTTTCCGGGTAAAATGTGGTCGGCGAGGTAAGCCAAAATTGGTGCATGCCAACAGGCTTTGGCATTATCACGGTACAGGACATTTCAGTTGGGACGAAGTGGACAACAGAACAAATGATGCTGCTGAAGACGTGCCATCTGAAGAAGCCACCGCCGAAGAAGAAACTCTCCTCAGTTTTGAGAAGGGAAATGGTGAAGCTCTTGATGAAGTTACTACCTCTGATGTGACTGTTACCGATGATAGGACATTTACTGATGAAGTAGATGAACCTCATATGAAGCAGAAGCCAACGAGACGGAAGAAGATACGTCCCGTAAAATTAAGAGACTTTGTTGAATTGTAATTTTGTGTTTGTAATTCTGTACATTTTAATTAAGTTATTGTTAATTGTTATTGGTTTAATGTAAGTGGCTATTGTTCGGGATGAACAATACTAAGGAGGGGGCAGTGTTGCATCAGCGAGGTCAGGTGACTAGTATCACGCCACTTCTTTCTCGAACCTTCACGAATTTTCGGGAGATTACTAGATTGGGGATAGTCTGATATATAAAAGATGGTCACAACATGATGGGACAAGGTGTGTAGTAGTGAGTAATTGAAGTGCAGTCATAGAGTGTGTAATTGAACTTGAGCACGTGAGTCGTTCGTTGAGAATTATAGCGCGACTGTTGAAATTAAGTGTATCGTAAAGTTGTATTCGGAAAGAATAAACCAGTTTTATTTAAGAAAGGACTTGTGTCGCTAAAGTTTCGTCAGAACAAAGTTATGGAAAATTAACTAACGACTGGAGGCGTAACAATATTATCACATTCAAAGGAACAAAACTGATGAAAGAAGAAACTAAAACATATTTTACCTGTGTTTTTATTTCTGAATGAAATATTCATTAAGTTTCACAAACATATTCCCATAGCTATAAAAAAAACATTATGGAACATTACCTTTTATGTCAATGCAGGGCTTACCAAATCCCAGGTGCCATGCTGCCTACAAAGTGACCTTGTGTCTAGAAATATTAAGTAATTTTTTCCCTAAAAAAGGTGTATTTTTTGTATATACAGCAATATTTGTGATATAATGTGACATGATATAAAAGATTAGTACAGCATTTAAATTTCCAATACAGACCATAAAGGAAGTACAAATCAGAGGCATGCTGCCTGGTCTGTGAGTCTGTGCCATCACAGGGGCTTCACAAAATGTTGAAGTATACCAAATTTCAGCAAATTTGCAACTCAGGGCCACATTAAGGGTATGGAAAGGCATAAAATATAACCAAGCAATCATTAAGTTAAAAAAAACAACTAATGATCAGAATTATTTCATCAGAAAATATTCTGATT